ACCTGTAGCCATTAAAAAAAAAATCTTTGCTGTGGGCAAATTTGGCTTTTCAAAATATGTAAGATTACAAGTTGTATGCAAACATTTATGCTGAGTACTGAGAAAGTCAGAGCTCTTATTCAGCTCTGATGAAAAGTGTTCTGAACCAAGTCCTTACAGATGGCTCAAAAGCCATTTTATACAATTATTTCCTTTCTGAACATGAAAACTTGAAACTGTGAAAACATTGTCCACTACAGACAAACTAAGGAGACAGAAGAAATGTAGTATTCTTGCAATGTTTTTCTAAATTGTATAAGGTTGACTTTTATATTTATCACACTGTTTATTTTTACTTCCTCAGTATCTCTCTTTTCACAGAATTTTCCATCATAAATGTTTCTGATTGCCATTCTGAAGTTAGCTGACTCTCTAGATGTTTTATGTAGATGTTACCTTTCTGGTAACCAGAAATGTACCAATCTGTCTGCCTCAGACTAAGTTCATTTATGCAATTAATATGATGAAATAATGTGTCTAAAAACTTCTGAGTTTGTATTTAAATACTAAAGCTGAATTAATTCCATACAACAACTTTGGTAGTACCTGCTTGGAATTTGAGGGACTACAAGATGGATCGGGCCAAACTTGAACTGCTTTCTGGTACTTCCAGAAAGTTGACAAGTGTTTCTGTTTCAGTTGATGGTGGGTCAGGATTAAACAGTTCATGCAGTGTATTTTCTATGTTTTACTACTTTGCTAGAAGACAATTTTTTTTTCCAAATGGAACTTGTTGATGTTCCAGCAATATCCTATTGTATTCTGTCTTTGAAGGCTTCACCTGTACTTCATATCAAGAAATAAACTGCTTGTATAAAGAGGATAACCCTTGACTAGGTTTATACATTTTTAAAGCATACTTTTTTGGTTTTGATCAAGATTACAAAATTTACGTATTGTGTTTTCTGATGTCTCTGTTGGTGTACTTTCTAACAGAAAAGCAAATTACCCAATATACATATTTTTAATTTTCTTTCTTATTCTAGCCTAATAGTGAATTCCTCCTACCTCCTTCAGCGTTATCCTGTACTATGCTATGCCAAACTAAGGCAGATGATAAAAAAAAGTAAAACAAAAATGATTAAAAAAGGTTTTTTATTATGTTAGTGAGCTAAGACCTAATATTTGAAAGAACTCTCAAGAACTGCTTTTATCTTAATTTGAATTAACAAAACTTCTTTTGTGGAGGCCTAAGAAAGAGTATCAGTTAATATGAGCTAAAATCTGAAGGACCCACTAAAAATGACTGGACATATTTGACTTTCTTAAACAGGGATTATTTGGAGGATAAAAGATAAACTATAAATTATTTACTCAACAAATGTGTTGAGTAAATATGCTACTTCCAATAGTAATTGGAAAGTACTGATGAGTATTGTTTAGCAAGATTTGTAAAGAAAATCAGCCTTGTTAATTTGGGATTTTGGCTTCTATAAGTTTCCATTAAAAAAGGAGAGACTATGCTATGCTTTTTTTAGTGACCATTGGATGTAGGCAAATTAGTAAATTTTTATACTGTTATCTTTTGGGTAACTTATCCAGTCAAAAACTTTTTTTTTTTAAGTTAAAAATAGATGCATGCAATAATTTATTATGTCTAATTTTTGTTTTTTTTTTATCTTGCAGCAACACACCTCTTGCTTTTTCCTCCAAAGTATGCTATATTAAGTTTCGTGAAGCATCAAGTGTTGGTGTGGCCCAGCATCTAACAAACACGGTTTTTATTGACAGAGCTTTGATAGTTGTGCCCTGTGCAGAAGGTTGGTATTTGAGACATTCTTCTGTAATGTTGGCCATTGTCCTGTCTACTAATTGTTTTAAGCGTTTTATGGAAGGAGGCGGTGCTCCGTTGTTATTCTATTTTATTGCTTTTTAAGAAAAAGTCTTGAAACAAAATTGAAAATTAAATTAAGGAAACCAATTATATAGGTAAGATATTACTTTGTGTCCAATAAAAAGGGTTTCTTATGCATACTGGTACTCCTTTTTAATTTTAGATTTCTCTTTAAAAATGTATAGCTGTACAGAATGCTTCTGCTTAAAATGTTTTTATAACTCTTAATAAAATAAAATGCTTCGTGAATACTAAATTTAAAAATGTTCCTTTCACTGGCTTTGAGGTAGTGCTTTTACAGATGTGTAGAATACAAGTTAGTTCTTGTTAGTATACTGTCTTGGATCTGAATATAGTTCTATGAAGCATGGCTCTACTGGAGGCGGATTGCTGGAGTTAGGCAGAGCCCCATTGACTTCACTGGGAATTGGGCATCTGCTCATTTGGAACTGGACATTTTGCCTCTTTGGAGTGGAAACGTTTCCATTGGAGAAGTGAAGCTAACTTCACTTTGGACATGGTAGCTGTTTTGCTAGGAACAATGATATTTAGAATGATTGATCCATAAACTGCAGCAAGTCCAGAAATATCTCCTATTAACATGACTTTTCTAACTGCAGGAGTCAGGTTTTGGTTCAAAAGATATTGTTGACTTCTTGGAGTCTAACAGTGGTCCCAGAGTGCCATTTGTCATGGTTTGACTCAGGATGGGCAATTAAATCATAGACAACAATGCTCTTGATCCCCTCCCACCCAGGTAGTGTTTGCCACATCACGATCTGTTTAGTATGATATTGGTGCTGCTATAATAATGGTTTGGGGTGTTCCTAGCAAACAAAAAACAATCTCCAAAACTCCTTAGACTCTAAAATGGCCTACAATATATGATCTGTTCTTGTAGCCTTGTTCATATGAGCATATTAACAAGTCTTTGAGAAGCCTAGATTTTTAATAGCTTTTATGCTTTGTTTTTGGGGCTTTTTGGTTTTATTTTTTGAACTTGTCTTAAAAGCACAAGGAGAATATTGCTGTATCCCCTTGAAGCTTTGTTGGTTTGGTTTTTTTTTGCTTTGTACTGCTACAAAAAAAGCTGCTTCTGCAAAGATTAAGTCTCCTCCCATTTGAATCAAGCTAGTTAATCCTGTGACCAGGAGCAAAGCAAAGACATGACCTTGGAGCCCCAGCAGTTAAAAAAACATTCCAGCATTTGTTATCAGTCCAAGCTGGAACACTTTGCTACTAGTAAAAAGAAAGCTTACTGAAGGAAAAAAAAAAGTCAGTAAAAGTGGCTTCATCCTGGCTCAAACCAGGACATTCCACCACTTATTCCATACCATATATTACATATAAGCTCTATATTTTACCAACTGTCAAATTAAGGATTCTCCCGCAGAGTCAGATTACCTTGAGGTACACATTGTACTTCACCATCCTCCATCATCACACACCAGGTATGTCCAGGTCCCTGAGCAAAAGTAACACCCTGGACAAGTTGACCATTGCCTTAAGCAGGATAAACCCAAACACCCAGCAAGTTTATTTCACATACCACAGGGACTTTATCCCCATCTGCAGTATGTAAAAGGTCTGACTAAGCAGGACCAGCCTGATTGATGGATCCCCTGGTATTAACTAACCAGGTGGCCTTTGCCAAATTTTTGTCCCAGTTTTTGAAAGTTCCTCCACCCATTGCCTTCAGGGTAGCTTTTAACAGACCATTGTACCATTCAGTTTTCCCTGAGGCTTGTACATAGTGCAGGATATGGTATATCCACTCAATACCATGCTCCTTAACCCAGTCAGTCACAAGACTGTTTTTGAAACGAGTCCCATTGTCTGACTAAGTTATTTCTGGGGTACCATATCTCCACAAGATTTGCTTCTCAGGGCCCAGGATAGTGTTCCTGGCTGTGGCATGAGGCACAGGATATGTTTCCAACCATCCTGTACTTGTTTTGACTATTGTAAGCACATAGTGCTTGCCCTGACTGCTCTGAGGCAGTGTGATGTAGTCAATTTGCCAGGCCTCCCCATACCTGTACTTTGACCACCTCCCCTCATACCACAAAGGTTTCAAGTGTTTAGACTGGTTAATTGCAGCACAATTCTCACAGTCATGGATAACCCGTGCAATAGTGTTCATGGTTAAGTCCACCCCTGGGTCACAAGCCCATCTGTATGTTGCATCTCTGCCCTGATGACCTGAAGCATCATGGGCCCATCGAGGCAGAAAGAGTTCACCTTTGTGTTCCCAGTCTAAGTCTATTTGGAACAATTGAGCAGCCTCATCTGCTTATTGGTTGTGTCGATGTTCCTCAGTGGCTCGACTCAGAGGCACATGTGCATCTACATGACACGCCTTTACAACCTGTTTCTCTATCAGAGCTGCAATATCTTTCCACAGATCTGCAACTCATATAAGTTTACCTTTTCGCTGCCAGTTGTTCTGCTGCCACTGCTTTAGCCAACCCCACAAGGAATTTGCTGCCATCCACGAGTCAGTATAGACACAGAGTCTTGGCCGCCCCTCTCGCTCAGCAATGTCCAAAGCCAGCTGGATGGCTCTGCAAACATATTTGATTCACCTCCTCCATCTGCTTGTGCAACTAGTCGTTTAGGACTCCACACGGCAGCTTTCCACTTCCCGTGGTTCCCTACAAGACGACAGGAGCCATCGGTGAAAAGAGCAAATTGTTTCTCGGTCTCTGGCAGATGATCATATGGTGGAGCTTCTTGAGCCCATCTCACCACTTCTTGTGGTGGCATTCCAAAGTGTGTGCCTTCTGGCCAATTTGTAATTGCTTCTACAATATCTGGACAATTAGGCCTTCCTATTCGAGCTCGCTGGGTAATTAAAGCAGTCCATTTACTCCAAGTTGCATCGGTGGTGTGATATATTGGAGAAAGGTTACTCTGGAACATGAAGCTCAGCACTGGTAATCTGGGCGCCAGGAGGAGCTGTGCTTCAGTGCCAGTCACTTCCGAAGCGGCTCTAACTCATTCATATGCTGCGAGTATCTCCTTTTCAGTTGCTGTGTAGTTGGCCTCGGAACCTCTGTAGCTCCAGCTTCAGAATTCCAATTGTAGACCTTGAGTCTCCCCTAGTGCTTTCTGCCAGAGGCTCCAGTTAGGACCATTGTGTCTGGCTGCAGTGTAGAGCACATTTTTGATGTCTGGCCCTGTTCAAACTGGTCCAGGGGCCATTGCCTGCACAATCTCCTTTTTAATCTACTCAAAAGCTTTCTGTTGTTCAAGACCCCATTTAAAGTCACTCTTCTTTCAGGTCACCTCATAGAGAGGTGTTCACAATTTCACTGTAACGTGGAATATGCATTCTCCAGAAACAGTCCCTAAAAAGGTTTGAGTGTCCTTTTTGGTAGTTGGTGGGGCCATAGTTGTTATTCTGTTAATCACATCCATTGGGATCTGGTGGCATCCATCTTGCCACCTGATTTCCAGGAACTGGATCTCTTCTATGTCCCTTGACCTTGCTTCTTTTTACAGCAACAACAGCATCCAGAAGAATTTGGATGATCTCTTTACCTTCCTCGAAGACTTCTTCTGGCGTGTCACCCCATACAATGATGTCATCGATGTACTGCAGGTGTTCTGGAGCTCCACCCTTCTCCAGTGCAGCATGGATCAGTCCATGGCAAATGGTTAAGCTGTGTTTCCACCAAGGGGCAGTCGATTCCAGGCATACTGGACTGCCCTACAGGTGAAAGCAAACTGTGGCCTGCACTCTGGTGCTAGAGGCATAGAGAAAAAGGCATGAGCAATGTCAATAGTGGCATACCACCTGGCTGCTTTCGACTCCAGCTCATACTGAAGTTCTAGCATGTCCGGCACAGCAGCACTGAGCAGTGGTCTAACCTCATTTAGGCCATGATAGTCCACTGTCAGCCTCCACTCGCCATCAGGCATTCGCACTGGCTTTATAGTACTGTTGAAGGGTGAGTGAGTCCTGCTGATCACTCTTTGGCTTTCCGATTGCCGCATCAGCTTATGAATGGGGTCTCTGTTGGTGTGATATTGTCGTCTATGCACCGTTGAAGTGGCAATTGGCATCTGTTGGTCTTCGACCTCCAGCAACCCCACTAGAGAAGGTCATCTGAAAGGCCAGGCAAAGTACGCAGCTGTTCAGTGTCCTCAGTCTCTACAGCTGCTATACCAAAGGCCCACCGGTACCCTTTTGGGTCACAGAAGTATCCTTTCTTGAGTCTATGCCAAGGATGCACGGAGCATCTGGGCCAGTCACTTCCAGAGTGCATTTGCCACGCCTTTCCAGTGAGGCTCACATCAGCCTCCACAACAGTCATTTGTTGAGAACCTCCTGTCACTCCAGAGATAGATGGAGTCTGTCCCTTTATGATTCGATGGCATTAGTGTGCACTGTGCACCAGTGTCTACCAAAGCTTTATACCTTTGTGATTCTGATGTGCCAGGCCACCAAATCCACACAGTCTAGTAAACTCGGTTGTCCCTCTCCTCCCCCTGGCTGGAGGCAGGGTGTCCTGGTTTGAGCCACTTTTCCTTTTACTGTTTTTTTGTTTCCTTCAGTAAGCTTATTTTTAACTAGTAGCTAAGTGTTCCAGCTTGGACTGATAGCAGCTAGAATGTTTTTGTAACTGCTGGGACTCCAAGGTCACGTCTTTGCTCTACCGGCTCAGGCAATACGGGGAGATTATTGACCCTCTCCTCCCCGTAGGAGGCTGAGTTAGACAGACAGCAAAATTGGCCAGAGGTATTACATTCCATATATCTACGTAAACACAGAGGAAGGTCAGAGATCACAGAAGACAACTTCCTTCCTTCTTCTTCCCTTCTCTTCTGTCTATGGCCAGCATCCAGAGAGGACTCCATCCATCACTGTCAACCCCTAGGATCAAGCTATCCTGACCCCCATAATTTTGCACTTTCTCTGGC